GTACATCTACCACTTAGTTGATATTATAACACAACAGCAGTTTCCAACGGTCAAGCAATTAAATGATCGAATTCTTGGTGATGTTGTCCGTCGCCTCCACTCTGAATCAATGACTAAGAAGTAATACCACCACATTCACAGAGGCTTCCGGCATATCAGTACCCTGTGCTGCCATTTCTAGCATGCTACCTCACGTGTAAAGAGACTGGAAACCAAAAGTTCAGATTAGACCTGCCTCCCTAGTAGGTGCGTATTTTATGTTAGCTTTCCGATCTGTGTTTATTTTTGTAATTCAACCTCTGGTCCCAGTGAACGGAGTTTTGGCTAAAAAATGGGATGCTACTTTCGAAATAAAGCGTACTTTTTCTCTCTTCCTCTCAACCTCTATAGATCCGGTTAGCCAGATTGTTTGCTTATCCCGTAATACCCCATAGAGCCCACCACACGGAACTATTTAGGGACCGCCTATTACTTTTCGATTACAGGAAGTATGAAGTGTGTGCAGATGAGGTTAGCCGAAGTAATTGCTCATTACGGGTACAGCTAGGTAGTTTGCTTGCTTAATTTGCCAGTCAACATAGCCTCCCCCACCCCGCTCCCCATACGGAAGCATTTGTTGACTGGCAATTACTTTCGATTAGAAGAAGTAGGAAATCTGTGTAGATTCCGTTAGCCGCTTTGGTTAGGTATTTCGTCATGCTACATTGCTCCCCACGAACGGAAATCCTCAGTGACCTACTATGAATTTGCGATGATAAGAAGTATGACACTTGTATAGAGGTTGTTTGAGCGATCGGTTTGTTTATTTCGACATGGTCCATTGCCTGTCTCCCCGGATATCTCTAGTGACCTGTTATAACTTTCCGATTAGAAGCAGTAAAAACGTGAGTAGATTTAATTAATCAGGTTGGCTGCCTATTTCGACAAACTTCACTGCATACTACTAATCTAACTATTCAGCCAGCTGTGATTACTTTTGGATGACAAGTAGTACAAAAATTAAAGATTCCATTGGCCAGATTGGTTGCTTATCCCGTAATACCCCATAAAGCCCACCACGCAGAAATATTTAGGGAACGCCTATTACTTTTCGATTAAAGGAAGTATGAAGTCTGTACAGATTACGTCAGCCAAACTGGTTACTCATTACGAGATAGTTCATTTCACCCCCACATATAATCTGCGGATACAGTTAGCCAGTTTGACTGCCTACTTTGACATGCTACATTGCCTCCCCCCTGCCCACACGGAAACATTTATTGGCCGGCAATTACTCTGATTACAAGGAGTAGGAAACTTGTATAGATCCCGTTAGCCGTTTCGGTTACGTATTTCGTCATACTCCATCGCACACCATGAACGGAAATCTTGAGTGACTTGCTACGACTTTGCGATTATAAGAAGTACAACAACTGTATAGAGGCTGCTAGCGCGATCAGTTTGTTTATTTGGACATAGTCCATTACATGTCTCGCACAGATATCTTAAGCGACCTGCTATTACTTTTCGATTACAAGTAGTAAAAACCTTGGCAGATTCAATTAGTCAGGTTATCCATCGGCGGTAGGGAGTTCATAAATCCAAATTCTCCCCCC